GATATTGAGGAAAAAAGACACGTTATATACAGATTTTCTATAGGAATGATACTTTTATAATATATAATTATAGATATACACACACACACATATACATATTATAATATGGAACAGTCTCACTTATTACTTTCTTAACCAGTGAATTTATATTTTTGTTCGCCACAACGTAGACAACGCAGAAACGAGTAACGTGAATTACTTTGCCGGACAGCGGTCTATAAATCGTATGATTTTAATAGGCGATACACGTCGAATGTCACCATTGGGAAGGCGACCTCCGTACACGCATCACGGTCGTGCACCAAGTACATAAGAACGTATGGCTCGCGTTTAAAGCGGCGAATTAGCGTCGTATCGCCTTAATATCGACCAGCATGGACTGTTTTGGAACGTATAACAGAGTGATTCGTTCCGAAGGCCGGTCCGAAAAGGCAGATCAACGTTCACAGAGACCAACGCCGCGTCATCAGCAATCACGATCAGCATTCTCGATGTAAAACCACAAATTTTTGAGGCTGTGAAGGAGCGAATGAGAAAAAAGATATAATCATAGTGATTTGTGGTGATCCGCGAATAGATATACGAGTAAAAACGCGATATCGTGCGATAAGTAAATCGAGAGAATCGTGTAAATTAAGAGAGATCGTGTAAAGTAATGATGATGACGCGACTTCATCGTGAGATGATTATGAGAGATCGCGAGCGCACGAAGGATATTCTACTAAACGATATTCTGCTAAAATATTTATACGATGCGCACGGACGGTTCGAGCGAAAGAATGCCGCGCAGAAGGGAAAGTGAAAGATGCGGAGTGTTTCAAGGATACGCTAGCGCGCGAGTATAATCAAGTTACTAATTATATCGATTAACGGGCTAATATATCTATTCCACGCGGTTAAAACTGTCCAAGGACTCGTGTCCTTGACTTTGTCAGCGCTTCTCGGCTAGATTTTCCGCTACCGCTCCGTCTTCTTCTTCCTGTTTCCTTGTATCAAGATCAGATAGTGATCTATCCCAAACCTTCTACCAACGCACACTTACGCACGTCTCTTGAATATGTAGGAAAATGAGATCTGGTCCTTTTGGAAAGGTGCATCGTGAGTCTTAATTAAAGCAAGATAAACTATCGCGGCATAATTAAATGAAGCTCCAGAATTTGGACCGCGGAGGCCGTTCCTTCCTGGAAGAAGCTCCGAGATTTAATTAAAAAGCTAAATCATTGGGACAGGACCTGCAATAATTTAACAGAGTTTCCGAACTTCGGTTGCTAGTATCATAAACTCTCTCT